ACACCACACTCTGTTTCACACCCCACATTAACAACGTGACCCGATCTGCCTACTTTCATCTTCGCAGCATTAACCATCTCCGTCCTTCACTCACTCCCCACTCCACTGCCATCCTTGTACACAGCCTAGTAACATCCAGGATCGACTACTGCAACTCCCTACTGTTTGGCCTCCCCAATAAATCTATTCACAAACTACAGATGGTTCAGAACTCAGCAGCATGTGTATTCACTCAAACCTCATCCTCTGCCCACACCACTCCAGTCCTACAACAGCTCCACTGGCTCCCAGTTAAATCCTGCATCATCTTTAAAATTCTCCTACTCACCTTCAAAGCTATCCACAATCTTTCCCCTCCTTACCTGTCTGACCTCCTGAACATCTCCACACCCTCCTGCTCTCTAAGATCTGCCTCTTCCCTCCAACTCTCAGTACCCCCTGCCCGCCTCAGCACCATGGGGAACAGAGCTTTCAGCCCCTCTGCTCCACAGCTCTGGAACTCACTACCCCATGGATTACATAATACCACCTCTCTCTCCCTGTTTAAGACCGGCCTGAAGACACATCTTTTCAAGTTAGCCTACGGTTAACTCCTATTGTACCTCCCTCCATATTTGACTGTTTTGTAGCCCTCATTTCAGTTTCTCCCCCACCCTATTGTTCAACTTATCTATTTTTTGTATTTCATTACATGACGGTTCTGTACTCCTCATTTCTATGTTTTTGCTGCACTACCCCATCACTATGTATTTACAGTTGTTTCTTTTCTACTGTACAGTGTCCTTGGGTGTCCTGAAAGGCGCTTTATAAATAAAATGCATTATTATTATTATTATTATTATTATTATTATTATTATTATTATTAAGTGTTATTATGGACCATGAGGTGCCGTAATCTGCCCACAGCTAATGTAAAACTACTTAATTAAAAGAAGATCCACATGTCTCAAAATAAATTAACACTAAAACTAAGGATATTCTATCTATAATTTCAGTTAGTTTTAGTTAGTTTTGTAAATAGATTATGCAGTTTTAGTTAGTTAGTTTTTTTCATTTTATTGCAGTTTTTATTTATTTCAATTAACTAAAGTGTTTTTTTCAATTTCAGCTTCCGTTATTTAGTTAGTTTTAGTTAACTATAATAACTCTCACTCTAAGTGCTTCATGTCTGTTAGGTTCAAAAGTGCAGGTGTGTTTCTGTGGCAGTGTGTCCCTCACTCTGTGGATATTAACTGTAGGCAGATCATCAGCAGACAGTTACTTCATTTTTTAAAATTTGTTGCAGCACTGTTTAGAAGTGTGTGTGCGACTGTGGGCAGCCAGTTTGTCTAAAAACTCCTGGTTTAACTGCTTATTTCAGAGTGCTCCGTCAAATTCAAACTGTACTGTATACAATCATCTCCTAAAAAAGATTCAAACACCTGATTAGACCAGGGGATGATCGATGCTTTGCAGTTCACCATCTCAGCTGCAACTCGGGCTGAATGTGGCTCTTTAGGAGGAGTTCGTAAGTACCACCTTGGCTCAGTTAATCCACGGGCAGCGATCTGCTGAAGTCAAAACTGTTTGCACGCAATATTCAGTTTGACCCGCCTAGAACCAGGGCTGGGGTAGATCCAAAAACCACACAGGAACTGAAAATGGAGATATATTTGGCCAAAGCACTTAAAGCCTCATCCATGGAGGAGGGGTTTAAGAACATAACTCACTAGAATTTCAGCTACAATTACAAATTTTAGGCCAATATCTGCAAAAAATGACTGAGATGCGGCTAGGCCTGTCACGATAACAAATTTTGCTGGGCGATTAATTGTCTCAAAATTTATTGCGATAAACGATAA